ATATATATATATATATATATATATATATATATATATATATATATATATATATATATATATATATATATACCACTAGAAATTTATTTTAAATGCTTTAAGCTGGATAAATTATCATCTCCTTTATAGCACTCCTTCTTGAAAGTATTCTTCTACTTATTAAATGTTTATTATTTGTTAATTTCTTGTAATTATGAGCAGAAAGCAATCCGAAACAATGTTAAAGCTTTTGAGGGATATATTAGATGTAGAACCATTGACAATTAACATTGGTTCTTCTGTGCATCCACTTACTTGACCCGGCTCTAATTTTATAATTGCCTAACCTTAAAGCATTCTCTTTTTTTAAGCAGTTTTTTGATCAATAAAGTTTACTTATCCAATAGTTGTTTGCTATAGAACTTATCTGGAAGGTTGTTTTTTTGTGCTCAGTTCTTTATATTTTGCTTTAAAATTCTAAAAAGTCTTTGATGGCGTCTCTTCGGTAATATACTGCTTCTATTTCATATATTTAACAAATCGATGTGTTATTGGAAAAGTATGGTTGTCGTTCATAATTGTACAAATTTATGTTCAGGAAGCTTCCAGAAAAGGAATAGTGGCTTAATTGAATTTAAAAGCGTTAGGTATCAACGGTGGCAAAACTTCTTTACAAATTTATCGAGATTATATGATAGCGTTGAATTTTTATGTGATACTCTTCGTCGCGTTTTGTTGCATTACTATCATTGTTTTTGCAATTGATCATGTTACTATTTTATCATTGTTTGATTCAGGTGAAAATGTTAAAGCGTGGTCGGAATACCATTGGGAATGAAAATATCACTGGAAAGGTATCCGGAAGATCAACATCCGCAAATGATGGGATGGGAATATCGCAGAAAAAACTGAGCGAAAACTCACTGCAGGTCATTATAAAATTTTTGAAATAGCAGATCCTAGAATGCCTATAGTAATAACTTCATATGAAGAATCCGAAAAAGTAAAGCACTTCAAAAAAAAAAAAAATTAGTTATTTGTTACATAGTTTGACTTTGCTATTTACTTTCAAGGTCGTGTAAGATGTATTCACTATAATAAAGTGGATGTATCTTACACTGGAAAATTATATACTATTTAATTTGATATTTTTTTTTCTGTCCTTAAAAAGGTAGGAATAATGCTGGGAGTTGCATAAACTAAATTTTGATTTATCGAAATGGAACAGAGAGCGAGTTACTGAAAGTCTCCAATTGAGGGATTTCCAGATACCGCCTTCCTGTTTCATATGTTATTTTGACTCTATTTTGTTTCAGTTATTTTAACCGATTCAAATCCCTAAATATATAAGACCTAAATTAAAATTAAATATATCTGACTCATTACCGAATATGTCCCTGACAAATTTTGTGTGAGATCTTACCTTTTTTTATTTCCTAGTATTACCATGACCAATTTCTCCACATTACCAGAAAAACTTTGTATAGCTATACTGATGAGTTGATTTTAAAAAGAAACTAAGTTCTAGTACTTTTGCAGGAGTTAGCAAAGTTGTCATTTTTGGATTAAATTGTCATGTTAGTAGAGTGAGGGAATAAGTTAACTCATGTCGTGACTCATCGCTAAAGCAAAAAAGTAAAGCAAGTTCACTCGTCTTTAAAATAAAGAAATAAGTAAAAACATTACCGACTATCTCTTTGTCACTCTTGTTAATATCTTCGACCCTGGAGACAAGTGCTATATCTGTCTTGCACAAGGCCTTGAAATATATGGTAGGACCAAAAATATTTATGTTAAAATCAAGGACAGAAAAGTATTTGATGTCTAACATGAGACTAATATTAATAAGTTATATAATTAAGAAACAATAGGAAGTTAGATAACTTCATTATCTTTAGCGATTTAAAAATATGGCAAGTGGAATTCTTGGAAAAAACGGGAACGATCCGATGGGAGGAATACAAATACGAAGAGCTGCGTTGGCAGATATGAAGAATGTTGTAACAACTGAAGGCAATAGAAAAATCGACAAAGACGGAGATGAAAGCAAGTTTTCGTTACTCACTAATAAAGTGCGGCGATCACTTTCGGCATCACCAAAACGTGTACGAACAAAATCATCGCAGAAAGAGCAATCTGAGCGTGATATTACCTTGCACAAGGTAATTGAAAATTCAAAATGTGTTTGGAGTTATTTAAAACTGTTTATGGTTTATTCCTCTTTTTTTGTTTGAAGCAATTTTTTTTCCCACCACTTCTATCAGAGAATTCTCTAAAACATTATACCTTTTGTATATCTAACCATCACTATCTGAGCTATTAGTCTTAGAAGCAGTACTGAATGACACAGATAAAAAATCGAATATGACCTTATGAAGTTAAAGATGCGAATAGTTTTAGTCATTCTAATATTACATTCAATTTTTGCGTTTGTTCTTTTGTAAAAGAAATCATCACAGTAAATTTGCATTACAGCGAACAGTTGGCATTTTGGGCATATGAAAAAAAAGGAAAGAAAACATATTTGCTAAGATTTGTTATTTTTTTAAACGAGTTTTCTCGACATTTTTGCCAAATTTAATTTGAAGTTTGCACTGAGTATTTGTCGTTAAATTCTGAAATTTTAGAAATGCAGTTGTGTATATCTACACTTCGTTACTTTTAGGGTTTGGCAGAGCTGTTAAAGAACGCGGGCATAAATCTCCGTACCCGGAATATTATAGAATCTGATGCGTTTACATCTAGACAACATTTAAGACTGAAGCCAACTCCTAACGAAATAGCTGTGCAAGCTCCTCCAGTCCAACCGGAACCGACAAGCAAAAAGTTGCTAAAACCATTACCGTTTTGTAATGGAAAGCGTAGCTTTGACGACATATACAACAACGAAGTGGTGTATTGCGAACGGTATGCAGCTGATAACTGGGATTATTTGTTTTATATCGAGAGTAAAGGAGTTGTGCCATGCAATTTCTTGCACGGATCGAGGGTATGTATGTTTATTTTAAAGTGCAGTAAAGTAGGTTGCATTATGAATGGATTGCAAGAATAGTAACTGTTATATATCCTTAAAATGAAAAAGTAAGGCACTATGATGAAGCTGAGGAATTCTACATAGTCAAATATTCATTGTAAGCAGTTCATATATATGTATATATATATATATATATACATATATATATATATATATATATATATATATATATATTATATA